GACAGACAGAAAGAGAGAGAAAGAGAGAGATAGAGAGAGAAAGAGGAGAAGAGAACCGGGTCCGGGTCAATAAGACGCATGAGTGAGTGAAACAGAGATGGGACGAGAGAGAGAAACCAAAGGAGCGAGTGAGCAAACAAATGCGTTGGAGAAACGGAGAGAAACAGAGACCGCGCATTCCCAGGGCTAGGCAACGTAACGAACGAACGAACGAATGCAAGAAGGGGAACGGTGAACAAGGAAAATGGTGGAATGGCAAGAAAAAGAGAGGCATCGATGACGAAAGGAAGGAGAAAGAGCGAGAGAAAAAGAAACATACGATGAAAGAGAAAAGGCACAGCAGGCAACGTTGGCTTCAAATTCTCGACTCGTGTTGGTACCGCGATGTTCGTTCGAGCGAGGCGAGCCGATTTCGTCCGAAACTAACCGATCTTCCTCGATTCCCTCAGTGTGAAAAAGTAACCGAACAATTTTACGACTAAACATCAAGATTAGGAAATAATAATAATAATAATAATAATAATAATAATAATAATAATAATAATAATAAAGACTTTATAAATTTACATAAATTCCGCAAAATATAAAATGTTTTACGTGATCTTTGACAACTGACCTAAGAAAATTTATAAAAAGAAATTTTCGAAAGTTTCAGGAAAATGTAAGAAATTGTAAATATATACATATATACAGAATCGATTGTAAATCGAATACGAAATTGTTAAATTAGAAGTAGTGCAACGTATAAGTAAAAATCTGAGGATTATGTAAACCAGTATGCACGTCCCACGCATACATACAAATATACATGTATAATTTGCTGAGCTCACATTAGTATTTCAGTTTAAGCAGCTTCAAAAAAAGTATTTGTAAATTCATAGATGATACCTAACCGAATTAAAACCGAAGAAACTGTAGTATTTTCCAATGTTCAAGTTAAGAAACATTAAAACCTTCTTTTCAAAATTTCAGAATTGAAAACAAAATTTAAGTGTTTCAATACGCAATTTCCAATTTATGTCACATATATATCCACGTGATATGTGATAATTTCAGTATATAAAACATCTAGACGAAACAATTAAATGATTGTATATAAATGTTTATTCTCCGTCCCTAAAAGCGAGGTAAAAAATAACCAAATGACTCGCTAAAATAGAAAACAATTCATCTTCATCCTTTTTTATTGTCTTAATGTTTGACAAATTTCTAGGCTATTTAAAGCGCAAGTAAAATGATCTTATTTTATTTTAACTACTTGTTGATTGATTATATACTATCAAGAATGACTCTATCATTCTATTTGAAACATTCTTACATTTATTCGTCTATATCACGACTTTTAAGAATGCAATACGAAATTTTAATATACGACGTAAGAAAAGGAACATGATATATCTACTATGGACCAATGCCAAACGCGCGTATGTATGTACATACGTACATACTTCATGCCATGTATGTAGAAGCAATATATTTGCATTTATCCGATACATCTGTATAAAAAAAACAATGTGAAATACTTAATATCCTTTTTCGCGTAAATGTGTATATTTTTTCACACATGCACATACGTACATCTATATAACGTTCTCCCGTTTTTTTCTTGACATCGAATAAATGGTAATTGCGAGCTACACGTATATATAACGTTGAACGTGCCTGTCAGTATTACGCAAGATCACTTTCAATTTTATTATTCCTATATTTGAAACTGCTCTTGCGTTTCGTTATAATTCAAGTGGAATATTTTTACACAGAAGCCTAAATCCCTGGCGAGAAAGAATTGTTTAAGAAGTAATGAGTAAATTAAATTTTTTTTCTAAAAAAAAAAAGATCAAACTATTTACACTAAAAAAAAAAAAAAGAAAAAAAGAACAGACACTTTAAACTGCAATATTGTAAAGTGACACTGATAATACAAGTTTACTTTCTTATAAATTAATATCCAGAAATACGTCTTTCAACTTGAATGCAAAGATCGCTGGCTCTCTAAATGACCTAGCAACCCTGTTTAGCAATTTTTTTTAGAAATTTATTATTAACGTGTTTGAAAGATCTGCTTCAGATCATTCACAATTGGTATATTCTCTTTCACGTATTACTTTTTTTTTTAAATATT